TTACGGTTATTTTAGGATCCCACCTTTTTGGAAGGGATCTTAAGATCTTGCTTACGAGATCAAAATTCGAAAAAGATTTACCAAGAACTCTTAGATTATTGACGACATCCATGAAACGGGTGTACATGTCGCCTATAGTCTCGCTTGGTTGCATTCGAAAAAGCTCAAAATCACTAGTTCTCTCGTGCGTGATTTCAAGTGTTCGCCAAATGTCAAAAGCCGTTTCGCACGTAGAAATCCGATTGAACTCATTTTTTTCTAAAGCGTAAAATAAGGCATTCATAGCCTTTGCGTTTAAAGAAAAATACTTCTTCTCCAAATCCGACCATTCGTTCATCGGTTTAGAGGGAAGTTAAAAACCATTTTCAATAATATTCTATAAATCCAAATTCATAGAAATCAAGAAAACTCTCATTCGAGTTTTCCAATAAGTGTAGTCCAATCCGTTAAACAATGGTGGACGAACAACCAAAAAGCCCTCTTGAAAGCCTTGAAGACCCATTTCTCTCGGGTGTAAATACAAAATGAGAAATACCGGGCTCTGATACCAATTGGTAGGATCGGAGCGGCACTAAGAGGGGGGGGTGAATTAGTGCAGCGGATTAAAACGTTGGTTTTGAAAAATCTTTCGTACGATAAAAACCGAACTCGGAAGTGCTTAACTTGAAAGCATGTTCGTAAAGGTGTGCAGCAAAAGTAATGAGGAAGTAAAGCACGTATAAAGGTTTGCAGTAAGGTAAATAGCAATAGGTAAATGCAAACCAGAGAACATGCCAATTTTATAGTGGTTCAGTCAAATGACCTACATCCACTTGCGAAGCCTTCTTCGATGAGGCTCCCAACTTCCACTAGCAAATCACTTTGAAGGGTAATGACAAATACTCCTCTTACAACCTTTTATAAGTCGTTCACACTCTTACAGATTTTCAAAGAGAATAAGGGAGGTGAACACTTAAACTATTGAAAACAAGACTTGCTAAATACTTTGCTAAGGCTTTATCTCAATCTCTAACTTCTCAAAGGTTGTATTCTCAGCTGAGAATTGATTGGTATTTATAGGCCCCAAGAGGATTCAAATTTGGGCTCCAAAGTGAATTCTCTTGGGTTTCTGAGGTTGGCGGTGCCACCGCCTGTCAATTTCAACATTGACAGAGTTCTAGCGGTGCCACCACCGGAACTCTCGGGTTGTGGGCGGTGCGACTGCCCAAACTCTCGGGTGCTGGGCGGTTCCACTGCTCAGTCCGACGGTACCACCGCTTGATACTTCAGGCTCTGGGCGGTGCCACCGCCTAGTCTGGTGGTGCCACCGCCTACACTATTTCAGCTCATTGGTTAGGCTCCAAACTTGACCTAAACTAGTCCGAACTCGGGCCCAATTGGTCCCTACTTGGGTTATAAGATTAACACCTAATCCTAACCCTAATTAACGTGCTAACTATGAATTTAAAGATATTTCCTAAGCTATTACAAAGTCCACAAGTCAAGACTTCTTCCGGCGAACTTTCGGCGGTCTTCCGATAAACTCTCGGAAACCATTTTGCGGACTCCCGGCAAGCTCCTAGACTTCACGATTTGATCTTGGCGAGTTCCGACGACCTTCTTCGGCAAGCTACGATCTTTCTCGGCGAGCTCTGCGAACTTCCGACGTACCTTCCGGTGAGCTTCCGAAAACCTTCGGCAAGCTCCCTACTCATTCTCGGCTAGTTCCGGCAGCATTCCCGATGAACCTTTGGACTTCCATCCGACTCTCGAACTCCCAACAAATCCTTTGCGCTTGACTCCGGCACTTTATTTCACTTTATGTCTTCATCGTTATCGTAGTTAATCCTGCACACACAAACCAAAACTCTACTCCGATCTAGACAATTATTACAACGTGAATTGACATTCTGTTGCCCGGCATGTCATTGGTTAGCGCTTCGTCCGATTCTTCAGCGCATCGTCCTCTCTTGCGACTTGTTGCCCAATCGGCGGTTGACCTCCACAACCCCGATATCCTTGGCGCAATTCCGCTCTCCTTGGCCCGATGCCCGACGTCCGAAGCATTCTACCGTCCAATATCCTGATGTGATCTCCTCTGGCGCAACGTCAATTCCTCTTGCGTCAATTGTCTAATCCTGATCGAATAGACCTGCATCACTTAAAATGCAGTTAAACATCTAAACACAATCAATTAGTTTCATCATCAAAATCCGAGATTCAACACTTACCATTGTATTGAGAATAATAATATAATACCTATAAATTTCACTATATCGATTTATGAATCTAACTAATATCAAAATATATTCATTTATAAATTTTACTAAATAACCAAAAAAATCACTATTACTATAAGAATATAAGAATAGAGACTCTAGGTGTTGTTAGAGCAAAAGACTCTAGGTGTTAAGAGTGAGAAACTTGTTGGGGATGATAAAACCCCAGCACCCCCTCCGTCTTCCTCTGTCCCTCCTCCTCTCTTAGCCTCTTATGCTTCGGTTGCTATTGCTTCAGCGTTGCCTGCCCTCTAGGCCAACCCTATTACTTATGTTTCTCACCCTCTTTTTATGGACCTGACAATTGTTGCTCCCACAACTAAGGGGGTGACCTCTCCGTCATACACAACCATTGCTACTAGAGCCACACTACCTTTTAAAGATGAGTCTTCTATGCTCCCACAAGGATAATGGGATGCTAAGTAAGGAGTTTCCTAGGCACAAGTAATCTTTGAATGCCCTCATTCTTTATAGGAGGGTTTACTATTTACCTCAAGTATTTTCGATCGCATCAAAAATTTCTTGAAGGATTTCATTTTATTTGACTCGACTAAGCTCTTAAATATAAGGAAATCATGAGCTAGCTCTCTCGTTGCTAGATTTTTGAGGAGTTTGTCTCCTTTGGATGATAGTCATGCTTTAATCGCTCGACTTTGGCTTCTTCCTTCTCCACTGTAAATCTTTGAGACGGGTCGAGGATTTTTTTTGTTTTATTTTTCATTGAAATCTAAAACTTTAAAATTTAGTCTCTAGATGATCCATGGGGGAACACTTTCACCTTATTCCATGGCATCTTAACTTCTAACCTATTATATGGTAATTTTCATATGCTCCATTTTGGGTCCAGATGCTTAGTTTGCCATTTGAATACTAGACTCCTATTAGTGTTTTTCACGCTGCCTCAATAATGGGTCGATTGCTTAAATTAGATGATCGGTTTTTATCTTCTAAATGAAATAATTTTGTGTGAATTTGTGTTGAACTGGATTTATCAAAACTCCTTAAACAAGACATTTGTACTGATGAACCCCACGAGAAAATTTTTTAAGTTTTGGCATATGAGAATTATTTTCAATATCGTTGTATTGGCCACAAGAACTTTGAATGTCCTAATATTACAACTAGCACCCCCTTGACCATGGGTAAGGAGATGATAATGTATTGCATGAGCAATTACCCTCGCAATAGGAAAGCTCTAATGTGGCGGGTGCCTGTTGCCCTTTGTCTTAGGAGGACTCTGTTTATGACTTTTAGATCTATGTTCAATGATGACATCCGGGCAATAGAGTTCCTCTACAAGATGGTGGTTAGAAGCCGCCGAAGAAAATGTTACAATCATGTGACAAGCACGTGCCGACTATGGTGAACCATCATCTTCTACTATGATAGATGAGATGGCCTCGTTAGTGGATTCATATGTTGGTGTTTTAGTTATAATGTTAATTGTCGAAGTTAATACTATAGCCTTTCTTATAATACCTAATACAAATCCAATCATTAATACGAGCCTAGTATATGAGAATCCAAGACCGGATTAATTAAGGAGGCGGGTCCTCCTAACCATTTTGATAGTTTATCGTCCTTTTATACTTTTGCATGTGGTTAATATTTCCTCTTTATTGGTGGATATTTGACCTAGGTCTTTTCTAACTTTGAGTACTAGTTCAATTGGAGGATGCTCCTCTCATGTCCCAAGCGATTAGCCGAGGGCAATAGATCGCCCATGTAGCTTTGAATCTAATAAAGAGCTTTAGACCTTCATTTTAAGGGTTTTGGTATTACTTGGTCCAACAACCACAAGGTGATGCTAAAATCTCAGTTTAGTTGGATTATAAGCTTGTTAACCTTCACTAGCTTTAGTTATTTAATGATTCTTTCACAATACATCTTGCCTTAGGCTCATTGTCCAATCATTGATTATGTCGATGTCGATCCGAACTCCAAGAAATGTGATTTTCATTTTTAAAATTTTTAGATTGAGTATAATGAATTATATGAGATTGTTAAATTATATTGGAAGGATAGTGACTCTTTCTCCGATCTGTCTAACTTGAGATTTTTTTTTGCATAATTCTTTATCAAATTAGAATTGGACTAGATTAAGAAGTCTTAAGGCTAAGATCTCATAACCAAATCCATGACATTTAATCTTTTGATCTTGTCAATAGCCTTTTTAATTTTGTCATTCTTCAATTATCTTTTCTCCAAAACTATCTCAGAGCTATCATCTCAATTTTAAGTAGTAGGCTTTAGTTAAAACTAAGTGAATTTTTGATAGAAACAGGAACACCAAATGTTATCATAATCTTATCACTATCAGAAATCACTTAAATAAAATCCACTCAATTAAGGTTGGTGATTGTCAATGCCTTCTTCTCTTTCTGGTTGAACCTTTGGAATAAGTCCAATAGCTTTGATCCCATGATCTTGAATTGATAGAATATGACAGCTTTCTAATTCAGACAGTGACTCACTGTTATGACTAGATTGGCACCTGAGTGACCTCCTGATGAGAGATACAGGGTGTAGTGGGTATGGTTCAAACCAAGAGCAGCCACGTGGTTTGGCTTTTGTTTATTTTGTAGGGGCAAATTTGTCCCGGAGAAACTTATTAGAAACTTTATTAACATACATATATATATATATATATATATATATATAAGTTTTAATTACAGTTTCTCCTTTGGATTAAGGAAAAAAAAAGAAGAAGAAAATATACTAATATAAAGATATCTAAATCAATCCCCAAACCTTTTGCAAACTTGATTAACAGATACACTAACCCCAACTTAATACAGATTGGATCGGAGCAACGACAACATAAAAATCACTTCCTATTACGGCGGACGTTCCGGTCGAGGAGATCCAGTCGAAGGCGATCAGCGGGCTGGGGGCCGAGCTGGCCGACCCGAGGGTGCTGATCCGGGGGGGTTTGCTCAGGCGATCCGGTCCGTGAGCAATCAGATGGCGTTCCTCGTCCTGCGGCAGTTCATGAGCACGGTCCAGTGCATCCTCACCGTCGCTAAGGAGGCGGTGAGCCCTCAGATGGTGAAATTTGCGACGGGGCTTAGCAACGAGTCCATCGTTGACCTCCAAGGGATCGTTTCCATCCCCAAAGATCCAATAAAGGGGACGGGGCTTAGCAAAATATTTGTTGTTGGGTACGTGGTTCTTTTCCTACCGTTGATCTCTGTATCACTGTTAAACTTAGTTCAATTGGATATCTATTTATTATTTCTAGTTAAGTTCTCATAGTTGTCTCTTATCTTTCTTCACATTGAAAATGTAAATGGACTCACCTTTTATATTAGGGGCATCTATATTTCACCTTTGTAAACACCCATGCCATCTCAAAAGGTTATGTTCTTTTTTCTAAGAAATGTCTAATTGTTTGCAAATGAAAACATTTTTACTCTATCATTTGTGGTAAATTTGCTCATCCATCTCAGTATTCTTGTCTTGATGACACTATCTTTATGTGCATGTTATTTGATATTTGTCTACTCAATTTGTAAAATATGACTTGCCTACAATATTTTTGTAAATTTTTTAACCTAAGAAACTGACCCAAAGTTTCTTTACAATTTTATCATTTAGTGTTCACTCTAATAACAATGTCTTCATTAATCCCCCTTGTTGAATAATAGTTTAAGATCTCTAATGCTTGCACAAAGTTCTTGTTCATTTTAATGACAGTCATCATTCTCCTCTTGGTAGTGCTAAAATTTCATTTTATATCATTATTCTCAGTTCTACTTAGTTTAAAAGCTTTAGCTTTTTAAGTTTGTCTCTACAATCGGTGTTTAGAATCAATCACAACTTAACTATCATCAATTGAAATAATATCATAACAAATAATATACACTATGAAAGTCTAACTTTTATATGGCTAGTAAGTTCATTTATTTAATGTGAAAAGACAGACTTAAAAATTAATCATGTAATTTTATAGTTATGAGAAACTTGCTAAGAATACTTGTCATATTTTCAATGATAAATAATTCTTATCGTATTAATACAATTATGGAATTTCATTTCTTTTCCCTAAAACTTAATAGTTACAGATAGCTAAGTGTTGAACATTAGCTTTTTTTTTCGAAGGGAATGACATCTCTTAAGATTATCAGCATTATGCTTGTGGAAGGGAACATTATATTTTTATGGAAGGGAATTTCGTTCCCTTCCAACTGCATCATATGTTTCTACAAGTACAATTCAAATTATCAGCTTTTCAGGATGTGTTAACTTTTGTGAACCTACATGACATATCTTCAGGTGTTTAGGCGATTTCTGAGATCTGAGGGATTTATTGGTATCCATACTCCGAAGTTGGTAGCTGGATTAACTGAAGGTGGTGCAGCTTTATAAACAATGGTAATATGTGGTGGCTTTGGACGTGTGTTCGAAGTTGGCTATGTTTTTAGAGCAGAGGATTAATATACACAGGCATTTATGTGAATTTGTTGGGCTTGATGTTGAAATGGAGATCAAGGAGCACTATTTTGAGGTAGGATTGGAGTGTAATTGATCTTCCTATCTAGTTTACTAACTTAATTTTAAAGGTTTATTAATGTAATTGCACAGGTTTGTGATATTGTGGACCGCTTGTTTGTAGAAATGTTTGATGACTTGAATGAGAACTGCAAGAAGAAACCTGATGCTATCAATAGACAGTGTCCTTTTGAACCCTTGAAGGTGAATGCTATGGTGTTTATTTCGAGGAAAACTTATATTCTCAAGTGGCATAATATGTCCTTATGATGTCCTTAAATATGAAAGAATGATGCTCTTTTGTGCTTTTGGACAACCTTCTCTTGTTTGTGGATACTGATTCTGATTTGTTTGCATTTTGCGGTACCTGAGAAAGACCTTGAGACTTACTTTCCAGGAAGGCATCCAAATGCTTCAGGTGCATATTTTTCAGTGTAAAATAATGGATCAAGTTCATCTTTGGCAAATTTAATTGGAATTACGCTTCCTTTATTACTTGTTAGTTCTTATTATGTTGTCAAGCACCATTAAATGGTTTCCTTTAGGTCTCTCACTTAATCTGAATACCGAAAGCTAATTCAATGGAGATTAGGTTCATCAGTAATGGTGCAACGACTTTGAATCAAATTCCAACAATGTGTGAACTATGAAATATAGGTTGAGTGTTTTGTAGACTGATCACCATGGCTGTGGAGATTGTGTTATGAAAACAAAGTAGGATTAACAATAGAAAAATAGCCTGTTGAATCTAATATTGTTGGTTTTCAGATAGAAGATATTGCTATTTATATTTATTTTAAGGTTTAGGATAGTACAATTTGGCCTGCAATCTGTAGAACTTCAACCAATGAACTTCATACTGCTGGTTTTGTCATGGAAGTCAAATTGAAGTTGGGATGTCTGAATTTGCTAATTTGATGGTGAAAGAATTTCATAAAATTCAACTTGATAAAGAGATGATAAGTCATGGTTCTGAAAATTTCTTAACCTTTTAAACGGGAATTCAAATGCTGCTATGTCACTAGAAATAATTCAAAAATTATGCTGCTGTAACCTTGACACTATTGCTGTTTTTGAATATTTAAAGTTAGCTATTACTGCTGTCTATCTCCGGAGCTTTCTAGCAATGAAGACTAGTCAGAAAGCTATAACTGCATGGTTATCGACTAAAGAAGTTTGTTTGTTTGCCTCATTATGCTGGGGTTAAGTTGATCCTCTAGGTAACCTAAACACAGAGACCGAGAAGAAACTAGGATGGCTTGTCTGTTGGAAAGTAGGTTGCTTTTTTTTTTTCAATGATTTAAATTGGTGCTCGAGCACTCATATAGGTGTTCGGGCAAGCGGGACCCGAGCACCTCATATGGGGACTAAGTAGCATGCTTCAATAAGGTGTCGCTTGAGCGCTCGCCCGAGCCCAAGTGCTGGGTGCTTCGGGTGAGCGCCCGGGTTCATATAAGGCAACCAGACTTTTAAGTTTGATTCGAGTCAATAGTAGTTCGTTGGTTCGATTGAACCAACTAACGCACATAGTTCCTTACCTCAAAAGCTGCACATAGTTCTCTTGCTACCTCCACCATCGACGCATTCTCCCGCTGCCTTCGTCGTTGATGCTTTCTACCGCTGCCTCCGTCGTAGACATAGTGAATTGAGTATTCCTCTATCGTCAACCAAGTCTTTCTCCTGTTGTTGTCCACTACCGCTGTTGTTGTTTGTCGTTGTCGTTGTTGTCGTTCGTAGTGCTACTGCAGCTATCTTAGACTAATCATCTGTTGCTGCTGTTTCTCACTGCTACAACCTTCCAAAGAACAGGAAGGATTTGACACTTAGAACAAATGAAGACCACTTGAGCGAAAGCTCAAGTGATGATGACTTTGAACTCTTGACTATAAAGCTTAAAAAGTTCATGAAACAAGAATTAAAGAATAAAAATAAACTTAAAAAAGAAGTTCTCAAAGAAGAAAAAAGCATTCAAGGCGGCTTGGGACGAATCGAGATCATCCGATGACGAGAAGCAAACCAACAAAGACGAGGTGGCGAACTACGCACGCTTTAATGGTTTTCGACGATAAGGTAACCAAAACCCCCTTTACTTTATTTTGAAAGTACTTGATGCTTTTTCGTGAGTTATTTTTTAAATTAGTTAGTAAATAAAAATGAAAAAGTATCATGCTTCTCTTTCTAAGTGAGTTTAAAAAAAATTAAAATTTGAGCATGATAATTGCATGTTAATTCCTAGCACTAAGCATAAAAATTTAGATTCACTTAAAAATAAAAATGCATTACTACAATAAACAAAATGATTTTAAAAATATTTCATGTTTGATGAAATCAATTTTGATGATTTAATAATGTATAATGATGTAATGATGTAATGAAAATATTAAAAGTTTTAGTACAATGCTTGATGATTTTATTCTATGCATGAGATTTTGAAGTTATATATGATGATTTTTATGATTTATTGATCTTGATGATTTTTGTAATAAATCTTGGTACTTTCGTTTTAAACGATGATATATGTTTTGATTTAGCAAAAAAAAAGAAGGACAAGGACATGCTTGTATGAAATCAAATCACTTAAATTGAAACAACTGAAAGGGAAAGGGAATGCATTTTGAAAATAAATGTTTGTATCATATTTGATGATTTTATATTTTGAAATTATGCATGATGAGTTGAAGTAATAATAGTTTGAATGCATAAATCGATAATCTTTTTGTCACACGAATCATGATTCCTTCACTTGATACTCTAAATTTTTTTTATGATTCATGATAAATTGTGACTATCACGAGCCCGAGTCTGATGAGCTGGCCAATAACTCCATTTTGGTCCTTGAACCGCGAACCAAAATGCTTAAGCATTTTAAAAGTTAACATACTACACTCATCAGGCCCATATAAGCTAATCATACATATTGCCCACTTCCGATGTGGGACTAATGGGATGTTACAGTGACATTATATATGAATCAAGTTCTCATGTGAATCTATTTACGTTGCCTTCATTGAATTTTCTAAAAAGTGATTTTGATGATTTGAATTTGAATGAAAAATTTTCAATCGAATCATGAACTTTCTTTTGATTTCTCTACTTGAGCTATCTTTTATGAGAATCAAAATATTTTCTATTTTTGATGATTTCTTCTTACCATTTACTAAAGAAGAAGACTTATGACCTTGATAATGGTTTGTAATGGTTTAAAATTATGCATATTATATGTTGAAGACTTGAAACCATGTTTTGATATCATGCATACCCAAGTAATGTTGATTTGAAAATTTATTGATTTAGTATCATGACCAACGTAATAATGATGATGACTTGATATTTCATATAAGAAAACTTTATGGGTTAAGATTTATTTATTTTTATCCAAATCATGATCTTGATTTCTCGATATTTGATATATGATATTTATTTATGAATCAAGATCTTATTTTTGTTCTCCTATGATTCTTTTTGCCATTCACTAAAAATGAGACTTATCCTAAAAAAAATTATGATATGCTACTTGACATCTTGAGAATTTAAGACTTGAGTTTTGTTATGCATTTCTTTCGTTCTTCTTTCCGGTTTACAATGACAAAAGGGAGAAAGAAAATAGCTAGCATCTCAAGAGAACTAAATTTGCTAGCTTGATAAACTTAGACATGTTAAATCTCCCAAATGCATAAATTCTTCTTATACATTTTTTGGATCATGATCTTGATTTCTCGATTTTTAGACTTGAATTTTCTTCTTGAATCAAGATTGTTTCCTATCATTCCTTCTATATATGAAAGAAGAGATATGTCAAAAATCATGACTTTTCATTTTTAATGATTGAAATATTAATGTAAATTTGTTATTTATCTTTGTCATGCTTTGAAAATTATTGTAAAGGGAAAAAGAATTATAAAATTATATTCTTCCCTTCTTTTTGACAAGGACAAAGGGGGAGATAAAATTTGCTAGCTTGTATGATGTAAAACTTGTTAAAATTGCTAGCTTAATCATCTCAAATGAGAATCAAAGTTTGTTAGCTTGCACATTTCAAGAAGATGCAAAAATAGGCTATCTTGTACATCTTGAAAGATGAAAAATTTTGCTAATTTTCATATATGAAAAACTTGCTAGCTTGCTCATCTCAAGGAAAGGAAAACTTACTAGCCTTCGTACTTTAAAAAGAAGTAAAACTTGACAATTCGTTATCTTGCAAAATGATGAAAAATTTGCTAAATTACATGTTTCAAAAATATACTAGTTGCACTTTTCTCATTTTTGTTGATGATAAAGGGGAAGAAGGTATGATGATGATCATGCATGGAATGATGTATTGAAATTTAGATTATGCATGATTTAATGATGAAATATTCATGTTTAAATTTGCTTTGACTTGCATTCAATTTGAATTCAAGGTTATATCAATATGACATATTAATACGGGGAGTTAAGGTTAACTCCGTCATCAATTAGTTGTCATCGTCAAAAAGAGGGAGATTATTGAATCTCCGATTTTGATGATGAACCAATTGATACTATTTGTGATTTGATCTGCGTTTTGAGTGATGTAGGAAGCTTCGATCAGGGAGAGATAATTAAAAGCAAGAATAATCATGTTGGGCCGGAGTGGAACATGTTAGAAGATTGGACGTCGAGCCGGAGGATCAGTCGATGTATTGGCAGAAGGCTTCGGGCCATGGTATCGGGTATCGGGCTAAGAAGAGCATAAATTACACTAAGGAAATCGGAGTTGCGGATATCAATTGGCCAATTGGGCAATAGGCCACAAGAGAGGATAATGCGTTGAAGAATCGGACGAAGCGTCGATGAACCAATGATATGCTGGACAATATTTGATTTAAGCTTTGTAATAATTATCTAGATCGAAGTAGGTTTTAGGCATAATTGGGTTGGAATTGGGCCAACTCAATTATAGGCCAGTTGGGCCCAAGGTTAGGCTGTGTTGGGCCAAGTGAAAGGCCCAAACAATGACCCAATAGGTGGAATCGTCGGTGTCACAATCTCCGAGATTGTGTCAGGTGGTGGTACCGCCCAGTGGCAGGATGTCAAGCGGTGGTACCGTTAGATTGGGCAGTAATACCGCCCAGTGTTAGTGCTGTAGGCGGTGGTACCACTAGTACCCCAAAAATCAGGGATGAGACACTTTTAGGCTCCAAGTTTGAATCCACTTGAGGCCTATAAAGACCCCTCTCATCCCTGGTTAACATGCACAAGAATTGAGAGCAAAAAAGTAGAAAAATGTTGTTATAATCTTGTGAGAACTCCTCTCAAAGCTCTAAGTATTAGTGTGGTTTAAGAGAGGAGTAAGTGAGGGTATAAAGGTTCTCTCCTGAACTTGTCAAAAGGAGAATCGAGTGTAAAAGGATAGTTGATTTTCGCCCATTGAAGGAAGATCGGTAGTGAAAGCTGGTGGCCTCAAGTGAAGAGGAATTAGGAGTGTATGTAGGTCA